GGTTCGGTGCCGGCGGCGCTCGACAGGCACAAATGGGTGCTCGCTCGAGCTTCCCCGAGGGCGCTGGTTTGCACGCTGCAGGGCTGTGCGAGGTAAACAGCGATAAAAGCTGGGATTAAGTCACAGATGATGTGTTCATTGTCGCATTCTTATCGTTTGAACTAAAATTGGGCTGCAAGCTGTTCGCTAAAAATACGATAGATCAAAAAAACCTGCCTAATACGTAGTTTACAGTGGGCTTTCTGGGGTATCCGTTACGGATCACAGTGTTACAGAACAAATACTAATATAACTGCTTTAATCTCATCATTTTGGCGCCAAACAGAATCTTAATGGGATCATCTTGGTAATCAGACCACCCTAAATAGTCTCCCTCTTGTTATCTATTAAGTTTCATAAAGTAACAGACTCTAACGATGAACAACTAATAAAACCCTACAATAAAGCCTTTTTTTTATTTTATATGTTGATAAACTGATAGTAGAATGCTAATAGAATGCTAAATAGCTTTTTTTTTTACTTTCCCTTAATATTATTTATTCTTAACTCCTGATACAACTGAAATAACTGCCTCAGTAGCATCACTGACCAGTGCATTCGTACTTTTATTTTCAGTCTTTCATATTTAAATTCTTATCCCAAATAATAATGTCCATAATTCTTACCTACGTTTGAATGGAATATTTCAATGAAGTGGAAGGAAAGGGGCATAGTTCTATGTGCATCTTGCAGTGAACACACAGTATCTGGCTAGTATCATGTATATACATTCTTAAAAGCTTGCTTGGAGGATGTTGCGGTGTTAAAATAAGGGTTATGCATTGATTTTTGTCCTCTGATTGCTTTTTGTTTCACAGAGACATGCTTCCAGAGCAGAAGGGCCTTGTACTGGAGTCAGCGATGCTGATAAGGTTCTACTGATTTTTTCCATAGTTAAATTTGGCTCTAACTCTTCCAATCCATCTTCATTCTTTCTTTCCTTCCTTTTTCAGTTAACCATCACAACCATCTTTTGTCTTCTACATGACACGAACCAGCCATCAGCTAATTTTGTTTCCATCATTTTAATTTATTCATATACTCTACTTTTGTTTTTCCTCATCCATGTTTTTTGTGCAGAGTTCACATGAGACTCTGGACATAGTGGAGGAGAAGAAGCAGGCAGAGGTTGGGATAGAAGAAACGCTAGTCGTAGACGAAACCAACAAAGGGAAAATGCAAGTTGCCAGTGATGCTGGGGAAACATGTAAGGTGGAGCATCTGTCAAAAAAGGACTCTTCATCATTGCCATCAGATAGTAGCAGCAGCAGCAGTAGTAGTGAGAGTGAGGATGAAGAGGTGAGAGAATACCAGCCACATCATAGGGCAATTGAGGAAGTCATCAGGGAAGAACAGGAAGAAGAGGAAGACGTAAAGAGGAAAGAAAAAATACAGCATGTGGAAGCCACACCTGAAGGCAGTAAACTAAATGTACCAGCTGAGCACACACAAGTTACAGCTGAATATTTGGTCCAGGAAAATGCAGTTACCATGGCTACAGAAGAAAAGAATTTGTCAGAGGAAATTAAGCAAGATTTAGGTGAAGAAAAAGAGGAAGAACAGCTCAAACTGAATGGAGATGTGTCTCATGTTGACATTGATGTTGCACCACAAATAATTTGTTGTTCTGAGGTAAATGGTAGAACAGTTTGACAACTAGATTAAGCAGAGGTCTTTCTTGGGGTGAAAATATACCTGCCTTTCTTCTTCTCCTATTCCTCCAGCTCTTCAGGCATCCAACAAGGTTCAGATCATTTGGAAGGGGAAACCATTGATGAGCAGTGAAATTCTGTCTCCTTCAGTTATGGTTTCTGACTTTTTGCTAGAACTGAGTGAGAATCACCAGTAAGGCAAACCTTCCGAAGACTGCCAACCCCTTTTTATCTCCCCCTTATTTTATATGCACATACATAATATATATTTATTATTTACATGTTTCCAGTGTTTTAAGTCTTGTCTTGTCTATTTGTCAATTGTTTTTGACACGTCCATGACATGTAATTGTGATTGGAAAACTATTGGCAATTGAAATTAGAAAACACCTGTCACAAATTTTTGTTCCTTTTTTTTCCCCTTCATTGCTCACTGCTTCTCTTGCCTTTTTTTTTTTCTTTTAAAAAAAGGTTGTGAATTTATAGACTAGAATAAGTATGGCTAGAAACTGCATAGGTGAGAGTACTGCATTGTAAAGAGATGAGGCATATATCATGATCTTACTATGAAGTTTTGTAGCACAGTAGGTGTTTAGAGAAGCATGCATGGGTTCCAGTCCCAAAAGGTTGTTTTAAGCCAAAGAAGATTGAAGGGTTCATTACTGGGCAAACTTTATAAAGAAGCAGAAAGGGAAAAAAAATGAATCGCAGGGGTGCATCTCTGTAAAGTTGGCATGATCTGCTGCTGAGTTTTTCAACAACTGGGTGGTTTTTTTCCTAGTTGTCTACGGGCTTGTTCTTGTAATGGTGACAATTTTTTTTTCTTTACACTTAGATTCAAACAGCTTACCTTCTTTCGTTGTCTTTTGCATGCAGAGGTGTTCTGATTAATGATGTGAAAGAATGAGTTTATAAGACCTTTAGAAGTTGCAGGCACCCACACTTCCTAAAAACTTAGCTAGTTTGTAGGAAGGGGAGAAGAGCTGCTGTGTGCGTAAGGGGAAGAAAGGATTTCATGTTTTATTTTTTTGTCTGGGATTTCCCCCATGTGCATCCAAAATCAATGGGAGGTAACAACTGAGGCATCTAGAAAAATACCTTTTTTTTTTTTTTTTTAAGTTCTTAAATATCTTATTGGAGCAGATTTTCAATATAAGTCACAAGTTCACTGGCTTACAGACCTCAGGTTAATTGCTTTCTTTGTGATATTGTAGAGAACACCACTAGCTAACTCTAAATGGTTAAAATGGCTTTTTAGGGTTGTTGTCAAAAGTCTTTAATTTCCAGAATTATTACACTGAATGTGGACTGCTTTAAAATCCGATTATCCAAGTTGTTTTTCTTTTCCAGAACTAGTGCATATTAAAAAGATCAACTTTCACATAATTTCCTTGGAATTTCTAGTCCTTATTTGCAGTTTGACTGAGCAATGATAGATATTTTCTCAGATTAATTCTAATATGAAGCTTATCCATCTGAGCTAGCTATCAGCTTCTCTATGCACACTAAGATTTTTTTTTTTGATTGCTCTTTTTTGATTTTTTTTTTTTTTTAATGTACTCTTTTACACATTTTCAATACCTGTCTTGCAGCTTGGTTTTAGCAGTTGCCTTCTGTGATGTGTACTGTTGGCTGAAACACAGAACTTTGGCAAGGTTTTTAGGAGATTAAATTTTCCTACCCTCTTACACAGATACTAGAGGGCTGGCACGTTAGTCTTCGTTTCACTTTGCTTCTTTATTGCATGCTTTTTGATTGGGAAGACGGTCAAATACTTACGTTGCTGTTATGTTTTTCTTGAGTTTTTGGTTGTGTTTTCTGGTCCACTTTACAAACCCTCTTCGGTTTTTTGAATTGATTGGTTATTTCTTGCACCGCAGCCTCCAGTAGTGAAAACAGAGATGGTAACCATTTCCGATGCCACACAGAGAACTGAAATCTCCACTAAAGAAGTTCCAATTGTTCAAACAGAAACTAAAACTATCACATATGAATCTCCACAGGTATGGTGGCTGGGTTGTTACACTGTTTGCAAGGTGATTTTTATTCCAGTTACTTGTAGAACAAAATAGATAATGTCCAAAAAATGCTTTTCAAAAATCTTTATTTTTTTTGTAGCAGCTAAGATTATACTTTGCCTGTGAATTAGGTAAGTGAAATGTGTGTAGGCAAAGCAGAGTTACTCCTAAAGTTCTAAGTTGTTTTGGTTTAGGGTTTTTTTTGATTTAACACTTGTTTGCTGTCTGCAAATAAACAACTCATTTTCAGTTTTGGAAACTTCATTAAAATATCTCATTGCTCCTGAAAGGAACTTGTAGCTTTGGTGGTAAATTTTCCACAAGAATGAACCATAACAACAGTCTCGCATGCCTCGGTAAGCTTGGATGGCTTCTGTTTAGATTTCGTTTCTAACTGAACTAAAGAATGTGTTTAGTAAGCAAACCATCCTTTTCTCCTCTGAAAACAAAACTTTTAAATACCAAAATACCACTTTTTTTTCCTTACAGTTTGATGGCACTGCTGGTGGCAATGCTGGTGTGCTGCTGAGTGCACAGACAATTACATCAGAGTCAATTTCTACTACCACAACTACACACATCACAAAGGTAAAATATAATAATGTCTCTCTGAACGTTCAAAAACATCAAAAAAACACATCCAAAATAGTCTTACATGAAGTTTCTCCTATGTCTGCTAATTTATTGAAGCAAGCTGACTTGAAATGGATTGGATTCATTGCAGACATGTGTGAGAGTTAATCTTTCTGTACACAGATTTTGAACAAAGAAGCCCTAATGAATATGCAGGAATATCTGGGAACAGGACAGGCAAAGGGAGAAAAAATACGATTAGTTATTTTAGTATTTTATATAGGTCTTATTTCTGTGTTTGACAAATGAGTTTATACCTAAATTTTTACAGTTTCAGTCCTGTCATCACTTACTGATCTCTTACATGTAAGTTACATTGTTAATGTAACTGATTTGCCCGAGGTCTGCAGGAGCTTTGCTAATGGCATCTGTTTGTGAGGATGAACTGAAACAATGTTTTCTCAGCCTTAGTGTTGATGCTGTTAGGTTTAGAGCATATTTAAAAACAGACCATACCACTAGATTACTTTGCAAGCATATTCTGGTGCTGAATTATGTGCTCTGCATTCTGTGCTTGAAAAGGAAAGGAAAACTCAGTGTTAATGGGACATCACATCTGTTTCAACCTCATGTAGCGTTTCATGCCAGAGTACAGAATCGTAGAATGGTTTGTGTCCTTAGACTATTCTGTTGGGTCACAGAATGAGAAAGGACCTTAAAGATCATTTAGTTCCAGCCCCCCTGCCATAGGCTGGGACACCTTCCGCTGTACCAGATGTGTTAGAACTACCAAAGTGTGGTGGTCGTGATGATTATTATTGTTGTTATTAATTTATGTAAATATTTATCAAATTTGGGGCATGCCCAACAACACAGTTTTGAGCTCTTAGCAAAGTTTTCTGAGAAAATTACAGAAATAATTGTTTAGGGCGGAGCAAAAGGGAAGAAGGAAACATAAGGTGTGAGTTTGGGATTTTTTTCCCCTGAGACAAGTTTCACATCATCGCAGAATGGAACAATAATTCACTGCTTACTGGATATATATTTTTTATATATATATATTCTTAATATTGAAATATTCTGAAGATTGAAAGTTGTATTCACAGAATGACAGTGGAAGGACGATGTTTGAAAATTGTCAGATAAAAGTCACATAAAGTAAGCTCAGAATTTAAAATATGTATGTTTCGTTATACAGACTAGTCAACAGGACCTTTTCAGTCTCCTGCTCCCTTTTGGAATCATTAGGCCACCACCATTTTAGGAAAAATTCTTTATTCAATAAGTTTGCTACCACAGCTAGAGGGGTGGAAAATAGAAGTGGACATTTACTTGTTGAGTTCAGTTGTCAAATAATGCTGCTTTTGTCTTCTACTAAAAAATTACTGGGATTACGGTAACGCAGCAGATCCTCATCTTTTCTTACAGACTGAATTTTCTAAACTAACTTTCAATTTTACATCCCAAACTGTTCATTATTGGTAAAGGGACCTGCCGAAATAGTTGTAATATTCTAATGGTGTTCTTAACAGAATCATCTTGGATCTTTTCTAATATGGTCAGTGTATCTTAAGAAGCAGTTTAGTCTCTTCTTTTATACAGGCTAATTTAAAAAAATGCAAACATATAATGTTATTTCTGTGAGAATTTTTCTCTAAGCTAAAATGTTTTAGAGTAAGAAGTGACAAACAAAGTACAAAATTATTTCCATCAGTAATGTGAAATATGTTGAAAATATCTCACTAAGGTCCATGAATGGCAGAACTGAAAACCAGATCATCTTTGTATTTAGTGGCGTAGGATTCTTCAGACAGAGAAGGGGCCCATGATGGATGGGTTGAAATCAAAGACTCAACTCCTGGAATTTCCTTGTTGCCAGATTTGTATGGTGGAAGAAGCTGGAATTCCAGTTTGTCTGCATATCTAGATCTGTTCAAACTTGGGCTCCAGTAGCAGAAGGAATTCTCTATTAGTTGTTTTTTATCAAGTTTAGCAATTGTTAGAATGTGACTAACTGCATAACTGAAAAAGGAAAGGATGATTTAGCACTGAGAATATTTACTACTGATTGCAACTCAGTCATGGAAATTTATTTGCTTCAGTGCAACAGAAAGGAATGCTTTGTGGCAAAATGGAATAATTACAAGGTTTTTTCTTTTTTTTGTGCCGTCTGTAGATGGTAAAAGGAGGGGTATCAGAAACAAGAATTGAGAAGCGCATTGTCATTACTGGAGATGCAGATATTGACCATGATGAGGTGAGTATGTAAGCTGTTAACACTTGCAATGTGCTTTTTGTAGTCCAGTGACATCTAGATGGTATTTCAGAAACCTGAAATAAGACAAAGGTAGAGAGGTTGAATAAGAGGACACAGAAAGACCCTGAGACAGTTAATTGTGGCGAAGTTGTTAAGCGATCATGTTTTGTGAATAAGGAGCCTTTAGAATATAACTGAAAGAAAACCAGCATATAGACCTTAGATGATCTCTAAGGTCTTTTCCAACCTAGAAATCTATGAATCTATGAATGTAACTTTGCATCATAGATCGTGTGAATGGATTTCTTACTATTTTTGAAGGGATTGCTTTTTTTTGAAAAAGACCCAATTTGTTTAGCGCTTCTTTTGCCATTTGTGAGGAAAAGCATTACTGAAATAATCTTATTTTGATGAATTTATCTAGGGAGATGGGCTTCTGTCCTGCATTGTATCAGCAACGTTGGAATGCAGCACTCACTTTGACTGAAAGCTTTGAAATACATTAAAGCATAAACTGCTCGAATTTAAAAAATAGTTTTTGACTTGTATTTATAGAAATCTGTATAACAAAAGTAATTGTTGATCTGGTGGAATCATATGTAATTTCATTTCTATCAGTACCAAAGCAGTATTTTATTATATCTTAGAAGCTAAAATTAAAATAATTTCTACCTTCCCAATTAAGAAGGCTGAATATAAGCAGTATACAGAAAAAATAATTGAGAAAGTGCAATTATCTATTCTTTGTACTGATGATTACACAGTTTTTATTGTTTTTCATCTGAGAAACCATAGTAACAAAGTCGATTAGCAGTCACTGGATAATACAAATGGAAAAGCCTGCCTTCCTCATAAAGTTGCGGTGAATCCAGTTCTAACTTTATGAAAGCTACACAAATCAACATAACAGGATTTAATTTAAAGAGCTCTTGGGGACTTTAATACCACATTTTGATGTGCCTCCAGGAAGTGGCTCTTGACAAGTTGAATCTCTTCTTGAAACTCGTAATTAAATGACAGAGCTGTCCAGCATCAGGCATATCTCTTGTTTGCCTTGACATATGTTCAGTGCACTTCAGACATCTGGAAAGGTCACAAAATACTTTTAGTATACCAGACAATGCTTTAGTAAAACCATTCTCTAAGCCCTTCTTTGTTTTGAGATAAGTGGGTAATTAAGTAAAAAATGAAATTCTGAAAAAGGAAGTACAAAACATGATTTTGATCACTGAAGTTTGCTTCAGCTACTCTCCCGTTCTCTGGCCCCACATGAATGTCCTTTTGCTGTTGTTGTTACATATTTCAAATACATTTACAGGCCCTGGCACAGGCAATCAAAGAAGCCAAAGAACAGCACCCTGATATGTCTGTCACAAGAGTGGTGGTGCACAAAGAAACTGAACTTGCTGAGGAAGATGAAGAGTAAAATCAAAAATGTCCTCAAGCAAATACGTCAGGTAAGCTTAATGTAGCATCAGTTTTCTATTGTGTTCTGCAATAAAAGGCTTGAAAAGTATGGGATGTCCTTGATATATGCTATCACAAAATGATGAGTTGATACAGGTGCTAATAGTAGTCTATTAGTAGAAGAATTTTCATCCCAAGTCCAATCTGACATTAATTTTAATTGCAAATTTTCCTATCTATGTCTCCCAGTTTTGTCACAGTACTCTGGTGACATTTTCTGTGATGTTTGGTCATGTTGTTGTAGTTCATATTGAAGTGAGGTTAGGGTATTTCTGCAAAATATGAAGGATATGTCGCGTTTTTCTGTTTGCCTGTACGATTACAGTCCTCGCCTTCTGTCTTGCTTGTTTAGTGGGAAGACTGTGTGCAGTTCCCAGTATTGTAAGGGCACACTCGGATGTTTTAATTTAGTTAGATAATTCTTAATCCTAAGCACGTTGAAATATTTAACCTTTTATTGTTTTCCTAGGCAAGGATGTAAATGCATTGCAAACTCAAGTTTTAAAGCCTCTTATCAGTTGAAACGGGTATTTGGAGGAATGTCAGTTTATTAGGCCCTCATTTCTAGGAAGAAAAGAAAAAAAAAAACAACCACCTGCTCTACTTGATGTATTCAATAGATCAGAATGAACACTGAATAAATCTGCTGGAGCACTAGTTATAGGCTAATGTCTTAAAGTTCAATAACTGTTTGGGTGTATAAAGCCTCATATTTCCTTTGTCACACTGGTTCATGTCATAAAACTGAAGCTTCAGATTTTTCAAACTTGATGGTTTCGTTAATTGTAGATTCAGATTCAAGGAAAATATTTCATTTGGAATGGTTAAATAACAATGGGAGAGATTTAAAAATTAAGATTTAAGCCTTCTTTGTTGTGAGACATCTTAGTTTCTACTGATGGGTCTCTGTATTTAGCTAGAAGAGCAGAGGTGGTACTGGCATATCTCGAGGGAAAACTGGTTTAGTACAACTTTAAGGTTTTAATATGCATTTTGATCAATGTCAATGTAGGGAGAGACAAGGTAAAAGAAATAGATTTTGTATTTTTTAAAGAAATTAAAGTTGTCAAGATTCTTATTTCCTCGGTTCAGTAATTTATACAATGGTGGTTGTGGTCCATGGAAAGAGAGTTCTAGGTCTTGCACAGACATGCATTCCCTTATGTCGTGGTTTAACTCCAGCTGGCAACTAAGCACCACTGAGAAAACTCATGAGTTGAGGTGAACACAGGGCAAAGCAAAACAAGGAGTTCCTTCACTAATTCCCATGGGCAGGCAGGTGTTCATCCATTTCCAGGAAAGCAGGGCTCCATCCCACATAGCTATTACTTGGGAAGACAAACGCCATCACTCTGTCCCCCCTTTCGGTCTTCTTCCCCCAGCTTTATACACTGAGTATGATGTCATACGGTATGGAATATCCCTTTGGTCAGTTGAGGTCAGCTCTCAGCTGTGTCCCCTCCCAGCTCCTTGTGCACCCCCAGCCTACTTGTGGGTGGGGTGAGAGATAAGCTTTATTCCTGTGCCTAAGTTTCATAGGAGCTGAAGATTTCACTGTTGGGTATCACTTCTGTGATCCAGATGAGAAAAGATGCAAGCGTTGGTTTGAGAGACTATGAGGTGCACCTACTGGATGCTACTCTGTGAAAGATGATCATTATCAAGGAATCTGAGTCTTCCTGAACTAGTCACTGACCACAGATGTGTATTTTCAGCTGAAAGAGAGAGGCTAAAGCTTTAGGTTATTTCACCTACCCACAGGAGTATTGCTTTTCTTTAACATCTGGATAGAAGTGAAGGGGTCTATGTGGCTGAGGAGAGGGAGAGCTACTATATGTTGCCAACTCTTGCCATGTTAGAGGCTGCATATTGTGAGGTATTGGGGAGAGACACTTCCTCAGTTGTGAGATATCCGTTGGCAGAATGAACTGTGCAAGTGGTGGCTATTAAAATGCCATCAGAATTTTGAGGAGGGGAAAAAACACACTAAAGCAAGAAAAACATTAATAGAACCTGCATCGCTGTTTACCTCATGATGGAAAGGGGCTTTAGATAATGCAACATTTTTTAACGAAATAACCTTCCCCCAAAATAACTTGTGTAGGAAAAATGACTTTTTGACTCTGATTATGTGACGTTCACATAGTATCTCTTATGAATGCTTATGTAATTCTTCCCCCTCCTTTTTCTTCCAGAAGTGAAAATGATACTGACCGTGATCAGGACCATGAAGAACTGTAATCATTCCAAGCCATCACTACTCCACCGAATTCACCAAGCCTAGCAATGATGACCAGATGTCCAAGACTTAAATGCCAATACCAAACTCCTTTTTAACATCTTTGGTCTATATTCCCTTACAGTCTGTCTTGTTTATTTTTTATAACCACTTCTTAACAATCTTAGATTTTTTTAAATGAAATTTTAGAGAGTATGATCTCCTTTTGCACAAATACTTGTATTTTTGAAGCTGATTCTTAATTATATGAAAGTGAACAAAAAAGAAGTCTGGAAAGCATTGTTCACTGGAGCAGGTGGTAATTGTGCAGGAAGGGGGATCTTAACTAATTTAGAGATAGTTTTTTTCCAAATATTTCAAATGAAATCTCTTACTGGAGTAATTTACAGATTTTTTTGTTGTTTTTTTTTTTTGTCAGAATATTCAGGTAAATATATGGTATCACATAACAAAGATTTTTATAAAAATACAACATTTCCTAAAATTTGAAAAAATATATTTCTTTGGATAAATTTTATACTGATATTTCTGTAACTCTTTCTGTTCTAAGGTTCTCCTCTCTGTGGAGCAGAGATGGTGTGGCAGTCCTTAGAGGAGAAGGAGTTGCAGACAAGTTTCTTCTGACTGAGCACTGTGTTCTTTTTGCACTTTGGTGCCAATGCTCAACTTTTTGCAGACGATTTGCCGTCTGCAGCATTCCAGATAAGGAAAGAAGGAATAACAAAATATCTTTCTCTTCTTCCAACAAGAGATGATCTAGGCAGCTTAAAACCTTAGTGCTTTTTTTCTTACTGTGTCCAAACTTCAATACTTCCATTATTTGAATACATGTGTAGAACGCTTGCTTTCTATTAAACCTCTCTGTCTCCACGTTAGAACTGACATTTCTGTTATCGAGAAGGTCTACGTTTCAGACACTTTGTCTAATGGTTAATGCAGGTTTTTAGGTTACTGAGTAAAAGTGTACGATGGACGCCATTCGTAGAGTAATAAGACAGTAGCATCATTTGAGACTGCCGTTGAGAAAACCTGTTAAATATTTTGGATTTTATTTGTATTTTGTTCTCGCGGGGGGGTTGGTTGGTTGGGGTTTGGTTTTTTTTGCTGTTGACTCTGTGTATAGTTAAATTGCCAAATTAGATTTATAGCAGCTTGAAGTTGTATCAAGTGGTATTTTGCTTTCTGTAATTCTGTTATAAAATAAAGTTGTTTATTCTCTGTATGACTTTTGGCACTCAGACGTAAACTTGGAAGGTATTTAAAGTGAGCAAGTCAGTTATGAGGACTGCAATTCTAGAGGCCACAAACCTCTGAAAAGCAAGGATTAGTAGAAGTAGTCTCCAGGGTTACCAGAAGGGTGGCACAGTTGTCTGGCTCCTAAAGCTACTAAAGTATCAGTATTTTTTAGACATCTTCCAGTAAGCAGCCTGGTTTCTGTGTTCAGAGAAGAAATCTTCAGACACCAAAAAGACAAGATTTGGATAACACAGCCCGAGATAAAATGCCCCTCGGTCTGCAAGTGGTTCTACTGAGTTCATTGAGTTAGCAGGTACTGTGATCTTCAAGTAACCAAACAAATCGTAACACTTCTCAGTACGTTCTTTTTCACTTCTGAGCAATGTATTTTTGGTGCTATTCTCAGTTTACATTGCTGCCATCTGTCAGCATGCTTGCTTAACAGAAATTCCTATTAGTTTTATGCAATTTGGATAACGTAAGACAACAATAACCAAGACGTTGGTTTATGTATGCATACAGGTGTTCTCCATTACATCCCACATTACCCTGAAAAATAGCAGATAACATTCTGACCTGCTTTCCTTCAAAAACAGAGACATTCTGCCTTTCAAAAAGGGGAAGGGAACCCCACTCAGCCTAATAACAGAAAATGACTACTGCAGCGCTGTGCATGAGCAGGGAGGTTGTCAAGGAATTAGCAAGTTTGGGATATGTGACTGGAGGTCAAAGTAGAGAGATATGCATTTAAGAGGATGTCTTGATGGATTTTTCTTACAAAAAGTGTGTAAGAAAAAGCTTTATAAAATCTTTGAGGTATTTTTGATACGGTGTAGTATTAGTTACAGAACTCTTTTGGTGGGCGGCAAGCATATTACTTCAATTCTTTTTGATTTGGGTCTTTCTGATTTGTTAGACACTTGATCGATACTGGGTTTTTGTTGCAAATGTATTTAATTCTTAAAACTGCAAATATAATATTCTTCAAAACAATATTGCTTTCACTGAGAGCTGTATTTCTTCAAATAGTATCAGAACCTTTTGTAAGGGAAAAATTAACAGTGCTTTCAGGTCAGCATAGCTTGTGTGCTTAAACATGTAATAATTAAACAACTGTTGTCATGCAGAAAATCTTAAGCCCTGAGTGTGATCAATCCTAAAAATAGTCAAGTTTTACAGATTCTGGTTGTATGTAATTATTCAAATGTTCTGCAATATTGTGCAAGTCTGATGAGTTTTCATTGTTACTTTTTTTTTGTATAATATATCTGTAGCAAAAACTGCAACAAGCAACAAAAGAAATTGTTCTCAAGGCACTTCACAAGCTGGCTTTATAATACATAGGCAATTTGAAATACAATTACAGGCCCAATTAATGAGAAGATACTTGAGTAATTAATTCTATGTAAATACTGAGAAAAGTGAGTCATGTGGATCCTACACAAAAACACTTAATACATCTTTCTTTTTAGTCATTATCACCTAAGGGTTCATAATGAATGTTGAAATTGTTCTACAGATTATGTCATAGACTAAGGTTTTGTAAAGGACAAGCAAGCAACTGTGGTGACAGACTGCTTTTAAGATAAAAAACAAGATTCAGTGCTCAAAGCGATGAGCAACTACAGTACAAAGTGTTTCTTAAAGTATTCTGTTTGACTACTCAAGTGAAGAGGGACTTTTAGTTTGGCCACTGAAGAAATCGAGTAGATGGAATAAAATAAATGAAATTTATTATGACAGAGGGTCAGAGTTTGAGATTTGGTAGTGATCAGGACAACAACTAACTGTACCCTTGGCTGGGATGCAGTGGGAGCTTCTCAGCTTCTAGGCATGTGAACCATGGAAATGGGCTGCTTGGAGCTGCTGGTGTCCCACGCCTTTGACCTAACCACATCTCTGGAAGGTGTGGAACTTCTGATTTTCAGGCTGCTCAGTTGTTTGGGGTCTTATACTGCACTTGAAAGAAGATACTTGGACTAGTAATATTAGTACAAGTTACAAGCATTAGAAACACTGCTAGTCCCTGTAGTGTGAAATTATTCTGTTTGGCGTGAAGCAAATCCTACAAGATTTTTTGGAGGTAGGTATATATGAATGGCTGGACTGGGCCAGGCTGAGTGACTAACACTCCACGTTCCTGTCTGAGGCTACTAGTGCTTGCCTGGGGGTGAGTGTAGGAGTAAGTATTGAATGAGAAAGCCGTACTTTCCCAAATACTCCTCCAGCTTTCAGCAATTTTCAATGACTTCCTGGTCTATCAGTCTTTCATAGTTAACCTGCCTCTGGATTTTTGGCGAATTGCTTTTTGAAAAATTCCTCTGGCAGGCATTTTCACCATTCTATGTGTCTTAAGAGAAAAATGCCTGTCATTTCTTTTCAACCTGCCTCTACTAGCTTCATTTGATAGCACCACTGCAGATACTGGGAGAGACACCTGACAGTCATTCTCCTTTCAGTCATTCCCCAGCCAAAAACTATTGCACAATTCTTTATCATTCTTACCACCTTTCTCTCTACCTTTCCTACTTAAACATTGAGACTTTAAATTCTGTTCGGGGAAGTGAAGAGGAAGCAATCACTGATAGGCAGGAAGGTTTTAAACATGTTCACTGGCTGTAGCTGGGGTGGGATCCTAGCTTCGTGTTGTTGGTAGTGACAGGAAGACAGAGGACTCCTCAGTGATAGCGGTAATTGAAGACAAATTATTTCCTTGTAATCACTGTTTTCCTATATATTTAGAGAATAATTTTATAATTTATCAAGATACTTAGTTCTATGATGCCTTTTAAATATATATTTTTCCTTTTTAAAGGAGTTGTGTAAGATACCATGATGTGTTTCATGCCAGTAGCATGAAAACAGAGATTTCTTGACACTGTTCAGTAATGGAACTGAAACAACAAGGTCTGAGGATTTTCATGACATGTTACTGAGTCTTGAATGTCAGATCCCCTACATCTTAGCAAATACAGTTCAATAAGCAGTTGTGTCAAAGGCATCTAGTGTTTTTCTGTTATAATTCTTTCTTACCTAATATCTATATAGTATTCTCTACAGTATCTGTACTACCATTTTACTGTGAAGTGCTATTAAAGAGTAATCTCACTTTTCAACATTTTAATCTCTCTGTTCTTAGTCATTTTGTGAAATCAACAAAATCAATTTTATGTTGTGGTAAGGCTTGCTGAACTTCAGTTCTGTATCTTTACATGTGGTCCAGGCCAGTCTTTTCTTGAGTGGTGGGGGAGCAGGTGTTTGGAACTGGGGGGGAAGTGTGTGTTACAATTCCTTTAACCTCTGATCAGTATCCAAGATCACTGCTTTTCTATTGGCAGCATCTTCCTTGAATGTAAAAACTCAATTCTTTGCAGCAGCTGTCTCGACTTCCCTGCGAAGGATTGTGTAGATTATGGTTAAAAGAAGGGGAAATAATATATTACTGAGAGTTTTTAAAGGTTTTCTTGGAAGATATTAGTATCACAGAAGTTTATGTACTCAGGTAAACAATAGTTTTCACTGGCATGGCTGAAGAATGGACTCTTTTTCACTTCAAAGCTGCTGGTCTACTTGGAAAGCAAAAATGTATTATCTAAGGATTATGTGGGAAAACAGGAACTGTTCTATAGCACTGGATACTGAATCAGTTGGCAGTATGTCCTGCGTGTTGCAAGGATCTGTACCAGCTGCTTCTGAGGAAATTGTTGGACACTTAAAAACCAAATGATGGAATAACATACCTCTGGAGAGGTACAGAGTGGAGACATGGCAGGAGGCCAATAGGTCAGGCTCACTGAATTATGTACCATGGTTTTTCTAGGTGAGACTGCTGTAAGCAGTGGTGGATCATTAGAATCAAACTTTCAGATCTCTCTCCTTAGACACCACCTTACACCTGTCTTTAACTTTCAGATCTCTAATATCTGCAGTGTGTTTGATCTTTAACAGAAACATTGACGCTGAAGAAACCATTAACTGTGTAACCAGGAGAACAAACCTTTTTATCCCTGTTAATAATAGCTGGATGAGTTGAGACCACTTTCCTTAATAATCTTTATATACTACATCTTAGTCTCTCAATCTCCGTGTCACATAAGTATTCATAAATGCACTTCTGACACTGCGTAATAACTGTCTCCTGTTACTTTTTCACTGAACCTTCAATTCTTTACATAATTACACAGATAAAGTTTAGAAACATTAAAAATGAAACAAAACATCACTTTCTTTTCCATCATCGCTACTTTCATGGGATCATGATGGATCTTCTGATGACAACCGGATTATTTTGTTTGCTTAGAGCCCGCACTTAAAAGTACAAGAGCAGAGTTCTCTAGAGGTAGGAATAGGCCAACATTGAGAACTTTTGGGACTCCCTTGCCTTTACAGTCAAGTCTGGAGGTACTAGATATAAAGAAAGTGTGCACTGCTCTGGACTATGTTGTACGAGGCCTGCCAGGCAATGTAAAAGTCCAGGTATGAGAGGAGGTCAGGGAGCAGGTGCTCCCCAGTGTCCTGAGTAGCTATTAGTCCACTCAACAGCTGGGTGATAGGGAGCTATTGTGGTTTTCTATTTGAGAGCTGCCTTTGAAGTACGTCTTTCCTTTTGCTCTCTGAAACACATCATGTTTGTTGCTAGTCAAATGAAATTTGTGGTGTGAGGTTTAAGAACCAAAAGACTGAATGCTTTGCTCTTACTGGGAAGAACAAGTTTGTGCAAAGAGTAAAATCAGAAGAAAATATCTTCAATCAAAATCTTTTGATTGGGAAAGCATGTTGACATCATCACAGGTGAGGCATCTCTTTACGGTACAAATGTACAGGTAGCTCTTTCCATGTAACAAATAATTGGGTCTTCACCTGTTCAGTGCAATGTATCCTGTTACTTGTGTTGAATCATGGAGTCGTAGAATTGTAGAATGGTTTGGGTTGGAAGGGACCTTTAAAGGTCATCTAGTCCAAGTCCCAGCAATATGCAGGGACACC